TTTCTTTTAATTAAAAATCAATCATTCTGTCTTATGATTTCTTCTGTGGATGAAAGAGCAGGAAGTCTGTTGTCTAAGCACTGAGCTACAGTCAGGTAGCTCCCACAGGAAGTTCAAATGTGGATTAAACTAAAACCTTGACTCTGTCCTTGTTTTTAAACGTCTTCTTCTGATGACTTTATCTTTGTTGTAAGAAAGTTTTACACAATTCCTCCAACAAGAAGAAAGACAAGTCAAGAGTCTGAGTTTCTTTCAAGCTTTTTCTAAAGACGGCCTGGAAGCATTTTTACATTTCTATGTAGAATAAAAAATAAAATAAAATGTGTGGAAAGGAGACACATATTTTCTCTTCAACTGTTGGATAATAAGGTCTGTTTGAGGTCATAAAAGTCTAGTTTAAAAAGTCAGGATGTCGTGTGATGGATTTTGTTTCCATTCTCATTTGGTAAATTTACCCATACCAGTATCTGTTAAATTTACTGCAGTATGAATTAGACCTCATCTCATTTGTCATCAATTTGTAGTCTGGAGAACTTCTCATCCATCCAATAGTCGAGAGACTAATAAATGAAAATAAAGGCTGAGTTCTCCGAGTCGCTGCAGGAGAACCAAATGTCACCGATGTTCCTCGTCTTACTGTAGCTGTGGAACTATTTAACTCCTATTAACCTCCATTCAAACATCTCGACCTGATCACATTAATGCTCTTGATCATTTACAGCAGGGTGTCTAACTCTTGGCCCGAGGACCACTTCTAATCCACAAACCCTCTACATCTGGCCCGTGACCAGATGATTAAAGATAATTTCATTTTGCTGTGACTGTATTTTCTTATGTATTAAAATGATAGTAAAATACCTCGAACGGCTGTTTACACTGTAGTATCATAGGGTATTTAGATTTAAACAAAAACTACTTTTTCTAAAATATCTGTGTTGAATTTTGAACACTAAGGTTGTGTAGTGTGGAGAAGAATGGTATTACAGGGTATTAGTTTGAACAAATACCTCATATTAATACCTCAGTATTATCAAATACTGTACTTCTGTGAGATGTACTGCAACCACCAATGATATAAACCAATAAAACTTCATTTGAAAAAAGATTAGTTTTACTGCGACCGGGCAGAAAAACCCTACCAAACATGTGTACTGTATGTAAAGTTAAAGATTTTTCTACATACCACATTAATTCCTCCAGAGTTCTCCAGGATGCACATCCCCTCCAGCGGAGCCATTCCTATGGTCGTCCCCTTAAAGATCATACCTCTGGAACACAGACACAAACATGGACAGACTAAAAAATCCATTCACTATTATCTGCTCCCTGCTTTCTCCCAGCTCCACAGTGGAACGCACATTGATCGTATGTGCAACATTTGAATAATGTATCAGCTGCAGTTCACGTACATCAATGATATCAACCACTATGCTGTTTGCATGTAGCATGGAAATAAAACCAAAACCAAAAGACACTGTGTGTTATCAGCACTGCTAATAGAGCACCAGGAGCAGTGTGTGTGTGTGTGTGTGCAGGAGCAGTGTGTGCGTGTGTGTGTGAGGGAGTGTAGCCGTGAATACTGTTACTGTCGTAGCTTTTCAAATAAAGCATGTTATTTAACTTAATTGCAATATGTACAGTTCTTTAGACGACGGACGGACGTCAACAGTTGACGTGGTGGTTGCTTGTGGTATTACACAATTTGAAGGTCCCCACGTGGCTCAAATACCAGAAAAAATATGATACAAAATTTAGAAATCTTGGTTAGCTCTATGCTCACCCTGTTGTAAAAAATGAAAAAGCATTCGTGTCCTTAAACTAGCTTTCTACGCTTATGTAAATTTGGTGTCCCCACGAGTACAGTGTGTATCCGAGGAAAAGCACAGTCCCCACGCTCCATGGAAACGTGTAATGGCGTGTGAGGGAGTGTAGCCGTGAGGCCATGTTTGTCAACATGCTGAGTTTTTCTGCCCAATTAAACCTGACTGCAGCGAGATTTTTATTTAATAAAATCGCTGTTCAACTCGGTTAATTTGGCAATTTGAAACATGAAACATGAGAAGATTGGACCCAACCAATGAGACCAGGCTGTGTTGATGTAACAGCTACACACAGGACATGGGGCCGAAGTAGAACATATTAGCAGGAGGGAATTAAGCAGCATAGTGTCTGATTCCTAACGCAGTAAAACTCATGAATACTGTCTATTTGCACAAATAAGGATCTGGATAGCAGAGATTACAAAGAGTGACAACAGTAGGGGGTTTTACTTTACTATTACTATTTTTCATTAGCGCCTCCATGTGGTGAGGTCTATTAGATTGTCAACTGTGTGGTGTGCAACAGCTGGACTTTTGTATAGTTGTGAACAATCCAAGCATAAATGCGGTTGGGGGCACGGGGGCACAGTTAGTAGTCCAGCCAGATATTATTAAACTGAAATAAAAAC